GATGAAGCGGCTGAGCAGGTGCAGTCTCATGGCTGCATCTGCTTCATTGATTGATTGACGATTCCGGACGCTAAAGTCATTCGTCCCGTAAGTGGAGTGGATGTTTTTTGCTCGGGAGGTAGCGATGATCTTCCTCCGCTGGTTGGTGAGAACCTACTCTCGGGTAGCTGGGTTTTCCCCAACCAAGTACCTCCCACCAGGGGGGCTGACACTATTCCTGATAAGCTCTAAGCTCCCAACCGGTCTTCCGGCACGAGGGGTAATGTAGTGCATGTAAGTGCAAGTGTATGTAATCGAGGAGTGGAAAAGACAAGGAATGGGAAGGAAAGGTCACCCGCGATCCGTGGCCCATTTGGAAGGATACTTCTCCAGCATTCTCCTCGTATTGATCGAAGAAACCTCAGAAAACTACCGATCAGAGCAGCCGTTTCCTAGAATTCTCCTCCAGACACCGACAGAAATCAACCTACACACGTGAGGCAGCCTGCGATTCACTGCGAAACGTCGGCCTCTCAGCCAAAGACGCGGCGTCTCCCGGATAGCCAAGAATTTAAAGAACTCAACCTAGTTATCTAGCTAGTGTTGAAAATCCTGCCACCGTCGGGACTCAAACCCTAGTACTTCTCGGTCAAAGGCACTGCAGTGACATCAGTTGATGCCCTGAACCACCTTACCCGGTCTGCGTCTGCTCTTTCACTTGACCACGTGAATTCCACTACGCTCCTTTCGTCGTCTGGCAGAGAAAAGGGGTATATTTCAAATATATTTATTATATTTGAAATATTTCAAATATGAAGGGCCTGAAGTTCGGCCAGATCGATCCTCAATATCCATTGTACTGAAAATCCTCTGTATAGTTTTGTCTCTAGAGCTATTTGGCGGGAAGACAACCATACTTATCCAAGTGGCATTTTCGTCATTTAGAGAAAACGAGGGACATGCGTTTATGTTTGGTTTAAGGGAACGGGAGAAGGGAAGTGGGAGATTAAGACAGATTCGTAAATAAGATGATGGTTTCTGCGCTTGGATCACTGTGGCATGAAAATTTATAGTTTTCCCCATTTATCTATGCGAAAAGCTCAAAAAAGAAGAAAATGTCAATTGGATCAGTATTGCCCCATTTGCTGACAGACATTTTCGAAGAAAAATATTTGTTCATTATCGTATACCTTCAAAAACGTGATTTTCCGTCAAATTCCCAAAAGCGAAATTTTTCATTATAAGATACCGTATTTGTTCGCGTATGTATATTTACACATTAAGTCAATCTGAAAATAACGACTGATTTTAGATATCCCGGGGCTTAGCATTTTGTCAGTTGTTTCAGTAATATCACTGTAATGTGTCGGTCACGCACTTTCAGTTTAGGGTATTTATAACTTACAGCATCCACTTTAATGACTACCAATGTGCGCATTTTCTCCGTTCGTGTTCCTCATTATCAGATCAACCAACAGCGAAGTAACAAACTTTATCACTTACTAAACCACAACG